GTATGGCAGTCTGACTGAAGTATGTACCTGATGATATTTTTGTTTTTCAACTCTTTCAGTGAGAGATATGGACAACTCTGTCACCCTGTGGCAGTTCCTTCTCCAGCTCCTATTGGATCCCAGTAATGAGCAGCTGATCTGCTGGACCAATGAGGAAGGGGAGTTTAAACTGCTGCAGGCGGAGGAGGTGGCCCGGCTGTGGGGAGCCCGCAAGAACAAGCCCAACATGAACTATGACAAACTCAGCAGGGCTCTCAGATACTACTATGACAAGGTAAACAAGTCACCTCTTCTCTGCTATAGGATACCAGTATTTGGTGAGTCGTCAGCCTGCTATTTTCCTGCCCCCCATACATCTCCCAGCCTTGTAATTCCTACAGGAAAGCTGATTGGACATGCTGCCTAACCAACTCCCCAATACTCCCTAGCCCTGCCCCAAACCATAAGCATGTGTTGTCCTTCAACTTTGTCAAACATGTGACTAATATCAGCCTTTTCAGCTGTTTTTGAATGTCCTTTTGTTGGCCTCTCTGGGCCGAATGATGTCAGAATACAGTTTGCCAAAATGTGCCCCTGATTGGTCACTTTGTGGTTGGTAGACTGGAGCCTTAAATCAAGTCTTATCTGTCTGCTTCTTATTTGTCTGTTGATTTAGTTTGTCATACATTGCTGGTTGCCCTCTCAGGCAGAAAAAAAATGTAAATAATTCTTAAATGTGCAAGTGGCTTATAGATTTTCTTCACTAGCCAGCCAAAAAACAATGGTATCTATTGAGTGGCTGGTCAAATTTGAACGTTTGCTATTTGATTTTGCACCGTTTAGAGTATCCAATAAGAGAACGTGTTTGGTTTTAATATTTTTTGTGACAACAATGAAACATTTTCTTCAAGTCAACCAGAAATTCTGCAAAAAGATGTGGTGGATATGGTGTTATGCAGGGAGCTTACTGCAGTGACTGCTGATGAATGTGTTCTCAGATGTCGCAGTGCTGGTTCCAGAGTAAAATCAGAGGGTGTTTTTCTAAGTTAGTGGGGGTGCACTAGCAAGAGTTGCAGTGCAGACTGCATCGGCCTGCAATGCCAATCACAAGAGTATATTCAGGGTTCCCACATCTCCTGGAAAAACTGGAAAACCTGGATATTAAGAGACTAGTTTTCAAGTCATGGAAACACCTGGAAATGGAATAAAATGACCAAATATCCTGTAAATGAACCTGTTTGAGAACAAGTGTTGTCCTGTATTGTGAAGAAAACTCCTGAAAAATGTCCTGGAATGGTCCTAAAAAATGATTTCTTAAGAAAATGGGAACCCTGATATTGCTTAAAGTGTCAAGTTACTAATGGCAATTGATAAAAAAAAACTTTGATATTATGAGCTGTATCATTTATTTCCTGAGATAGCCAAACCACACAATAAACTATGAGCTGTTTTAAATGTGGATTGCAAACTTATTAAAAAAAGTTAGCAAGGGTTGCTATCCTTTTAGTGTTCAAAGTCTCTGTCAACAATAAACAGGGAAGAGTCTTGTAGCTGATTGCACATGCCATAATCTGGCCCAGACATGGATGTATTAAGTACTGACCAACAGCTTATGTTAGCAGTTAGTAAACAGTAGTCGGAATGCCTCAGTGAAAGATCACATCAGTATCTTAATCACTGTAATCAGGATCATACAGGACTGTGCCGAAGCTTCTCCTGTCAGTCTGTGAAACTATAATGTTAGCTAATGCTAGTTCAGCAGCTACACAACAGACTGAGACAAAACAACAACAGACAAAACACTGATAAGGTTTTTGTCAGTGGCAGTTAAACCCTGGTGAAACAAGGGTGTGTACTGGATAAACCTGTATTTCATCCATGTTATTTGATAATTTCCTAGATGGATAAATTGATCATTTCTCTTTTGTACAGCGTTATCAGAAATGAAAACTAAATATTATGTCGATAATATTGTCTAATATCAGTACTTATCATTTTGTAGCACTCGGAGCGTGTACAGCTTTGAGTACACACAATACTGTTTGTCCCCCTTTGATAGAGCAGTGACCCCCTAGAAAAGCTGATGGGACCATCCATCGTTTTGAAAAACAACAAGAGGTTGCATCACATTACAGAATAGTCCTCCTCTCTTTTTGAAGATCTAGTATTACTGTTGACGCTGAATGAATGAACGAGGCACAGACGTACAGCTCTAAGGGTGCTCAGGGGCTTGAGCACCCTAATGTTTTTGCCCACTCCCGGCTTCCAAAAAATAAAAATGAAATGAAATGAAAAAATGAATATGAGTTTGATCAGATTGCGGGGTATATATATAAAATCTGTTTGTCAGTCATAATTAAACCAATGACATGATGCCTAAGTTGCAAAACAGCACATGTTTTGAAGCAGCAGCTGAAGCCTCAGAGGGGACCGTTTCTTCCAGACAGCTGCACCAAAGAGTGCACCAGCAAATAGCAAAACCCAAGTTAATTGCATCTCAGAACGGTTAAAGTCCACTTGCTCAGTGACTTGCGGAAGAGGGTGAGAGTGCTGTCTGTCTCCCACTCTGCTTGTGGTTTGGCAGAAGCACAGCCTGACCCTGTAGGCGTTCTGGGCAGGGCTGCTCTGGTATGTTTGGCTGCAGCATTAGTGGCTGCTAGTTTGGTGCAGACAGGAAGGACAGAGCTGTCCCACGCAGAAGGCTTTTCTGTGGTCTCACTCTTCTATTTTTTACTATATTGCCTCTTTGGTAAAGGCATATTACATGAGGGAAAGTCTTGTTTTGGCTCTCATTCCGTGCTTTCTGCCTAGATGTTAATGATGCACTTTTTATTCTACTCACCAAGAGTATAAATTAACATTTTCTGCAATTGCTTTTTTTTGTGTCTTACAGAACATCATAAAGAAGGTGAATGGTCAGAAGTTTGTCTACCGCTTTGTGTCCTATCCTGACATCCTGAAAGGAGATGTTGGTACCCGAACAGACGGCGGGGATGTGGGTGCTGGGGGCCTCTCTCCATTGTCAAAGAGGGGAGACGGCAGTCTACTGGAGGGGGAGTCTGGTGACCGCAGCAAGGTAGGAGGTAGTACAGCAGCTCTGAGCTCCAGCACCAAGCAGTCAAACCGCAACGACTACATCCACTCCGGCCTGTACACCTCCTTTACTCTCAACTCGCTGCAAAATGGACGCCAGCTCTTCAAGTCCATCAAAATAGAGAACCCAGCAGAGAAGATGGCTGACAAGAGGGGTCTCATTGCCACAGCCCACAGCCAGGAGCAGTTCGCTCAGCCGCAACAGCCGACCGGTTTGCCATCCGTCATCAAGTTTGGAAACACTCCTCCAAAGCCAGCACCAGCACCGCCTCCTCAGGTTGACATAGAGCCCACCCTGATGTCCAACCACTTGGATTCTCTGCAAGCTCTGCCCCCGAGGGCCGAAACCATCAGCACACACTCCTCCCTGCCGTCCCAGTCCGTCTACTCGTTTGAACACATCCGCCCGTCGGAACCAACATTCAGCATATCAGACCTGACCTCGGCCAGCCCGTCTCCAAGCCTAGTGCCCGACTCCTCCCAGGAGCTGGTCATTGACAGCGACATGGAGTCCGGATCTTCTCACCCCGCAGACTCTCAGGCACCAGAACCCACAGACGCTCAGGCCCAGGAAAAGGTTAGTGTATATATATGGCAGTCAAATAGCTAAAAGTTTGAGCAGTTTTTGTTATTTAATCAGAGTCAGATAGCAGTTATTAGGTTGTTCGCTTGTGTTGCCAGACCACTGTCAATCAAGTCGGATCATAACACACTCATACAGTCCCAATTAGGCAAGTCACAATACCAGTGAAATTTCACGATTCTCGACACCAATTCGATATCACGTTCAAAACGAAAACAAAACAACTCTTTTATTAACATTACAAAAAATTGCAATAGCAACTATTTTCTGATAGATGTTTTCTTATTGACTTAATTCACTACTAAACAACTTTAATTTGCTCACCTTGCTTTTCTCTTTAGTACTCTTTTACACACACACACACGTACACACAGGTTTGGCCTTTCTTTCTCCCTGTATGTGTCTCTGCTGACTTTCTTCAGCAGTAAGTCTCCCACACAACACATCTCACGTTGAGGATCTTTCCACCTGCGATTCTGTTTTTACATCAGCAGGTGAGCCGCGTGTGGAGGAGGCTCGTTGTTAATGACGTAGCCAATCAAAACCATGGAAACTGAAGTGGATTGGCTTTTTGAGCATTAAACTCTTAATAAGTTATATTAAATAATTATGGATGTTGATTTGATCATTTTTTAAAGACCTGCAATGACCACCTGGCCACCTGGGAGCAGAGTAAACTAGCTGCAATCAAAACTCTTAACGTATTATCAATTATTAGTTATGAATGAGTTGGCAAACAGTTTACACTTTACATGGAGAAACATTATCAATCACTCATTTGGATCAGTTATAAGTTCAGTAGAGGGAAATAACTTTCTCTTTAACTGCTAAATGTTCCGCTATGTTCATCATGTACTCTTTGACTGTGCCCATGTGGGCACAGTGGTTTTTTTTTTTTTCTGCAAACAGCCACCTGCTGCAGCCGGAAACCAAAACAGTAAAGTTGTGGGCCATAAAACCTAAACAGTCAGCTGAAAGATACTAAAAGGGTCTTTAGAGCTGAAGGAAACTACATTCTGATGAGTATTCTTTGTGAATTTATCACTACCAGTGACCCTTTTCACAAACAAGTAGTCATTTAATTCATTTTTATTATAAATATCTGTTATTATAGAAGTAATTGCTCAAGTATATGTGTAGCAGTCATGCAGCACCACACCCTAAAAACTACCAGCACAGCAGGGAAATTAATTTTAAGTGAAATTCATCACACTATTAATTTCAACAAAACCATTTAGTTGCTTCATTTCAATTCTGCTCTCGCAGCTGTTAAGTTACATTATACTACATTATAATCAGTAGCTGTGTGACACATCTACTGATTATTTCAAAAAATTTAAAATTAAATGAGCTGTGCAAAGTGTAAAGCAAAAGTGATGAAATCAAGAAAATGTTATTAATGAAATGATCTGTCTTTTGTCCACCAGGTGGACAGTGGCATTGGTTTGTCGGGAGACGAGACCAGTTTTGTGGACGCTGAAACCAGTTCATCCTCAGTGAGCAGCAGCACCACACTCAGCACTCAGAGCTCAGGAAAGACACGCAAGCCCCCGAAAGTCCTGCAGATCAGCCCGCCAACTCTGCTTGTCACCACTTCTGACTTCTCCCCCATGAACCTCTGCAGCCCCTCTCTACCGACTGCCTCTCTCACACCAGCAATGCTACAGGTAAGGGCCTAGATTCATCCTCTTGGTAGTGAAGTCAAACCACATTTAAGCAAAACATTGACACAAATAAATGATGATACAAATCAGAACATACAAACAGACGTTGAATACTCAATAAGTGAATGAAGACATTTCAGTTAAGTTAACATTCAATATCAGTCTAATGGTAGCAGTATGAAAGATGCATGATGTACAGTAACACTGGTGAAAGTGTAGGATGGCATATAACATCTTTTGAAATTAAGAAATGATGAGTGAGGAAATGAAATGACAATTGATATAATATCTCTACAATAGCCTTTTTATTGGGAAATATTCAACACACTGTTTAGTGCACAGTACATTATTAACATGGCAGTTAATAATTACAAGACAGGAACATTTTCTATACATACTGTAGATAATTTAAGTTGAAATTGCCAGATGTATTCTTCCTGTCTTGGCTCCACCTTCATACGTTTGGAAGGACAAAGCCATGAGGATATACAAGGATAGAGGAACTGTAATCAGCAGTGGGACATCAAGAGCATTTACTCATTACACACACCTACTGTATATGAGCTGCGAATCGAGCTTGTAAAAGTTGTTCTGAATTGCTTCAGTGTTTTTGGTGTTGCTCAGAGCCCCCAAACTGGGGCCTGCGGGCCAAAGTTGACCTGCCATAAGGTTTGATTTAAGAAGAAGAAAATGTATTCAGAAATATATTATAGAAATTGCTGTTCATCTTTTGTGAGGGAAAAATGCTCTTTTAATTGAGGATCCCTAATGATTCATTATTTTTCATAATCTGAGTGACACTGCACACAGTCAGTCAGTTAAGGGAATCCTAGTACCATTTTGCATCTCAACTAGTATTTGCTTTTGGCCTGTGATCCACCATTACGTTTCAGTTCTGACCTTTAATGGGAAAAAGTTTGAGCACCCCTTTCTTAGATAACGTAGTGTTGCTATATTGTTGCATTGACTTGTATTTCTCTGTGAGGTATTTGGTACAGTCTTTTTTCCTTTATTAATTTCCTCAAGGCTCCCATGAGATAAAACCAAGACTATTTGACATCCAGTGTGCCATTTCTGCCCCATAAACTGCTGCAGACCTAGATGACTAAAAATCAACTGAATTTATAATGAAGTATATTTCACACTCTGTATTAACCATGCGTCAACATTTTCCAAGTAGGTGTGTTGTTTCATTATAATTAAAACATTAAATTGATAAATTACTATAACCAATAATAGGTTTGTTGATTTTTCATCAGAGAAGTTGTGTAAAAGCTCAGTGCTGCCTGTTGAAGTGATAATTAACAATTATTTGCATCATTTATTCATACCTTTTGTGTCTACAGTATTCCTCATTTTTGTGATGATGTCTCATAATGTTTTGAGATGATTCAGTAACAGCAGACCATGTTTAAATGGAATAGACAAGCATCATTGTCTAACTGGGCAGAACCCAGAAACGACCTGAACCTCCAACATTTACTGATCCTGACCAGCAGGTGGCAGCAGTGCCACAGTAATCTTGGATGTTTGGCCGTTTTTGGTGTTTAGTCGTTCCTAGTGATGCTGAATGCAGACCGCATGACTGTGTGCCACTGTATAGAATTTAGGAGTCTATTAGATTTGCTGGTTCAGACAGAGCTGTTTTTATTCTGTCCTTCCCCAGCAGGCCAGGTCCAGTTGGTCATGAGACCCACTGTTAGCTCACTGCTAGTTGAATGAGTTCTTCTTCCTGGTTTCTCTCTCTTCTGTCAGTTGTTGACTTTAAGCATTTTCTCTTCGCTGTATGAGAGGAGTTCTTGATGGTCAGTACTGTTGCATATGGGTTACTGCCCTTGTGTTTAGTATCTTCAAATTTGACCCCACAATTCATTAACAAAATGAAAATAGATTAATGAATGAATTGTCAGAGGTGAGTCACTCAAACTGAGGGATTTAAAATTCCATTTTAAATTGACACCAGTAATAGACCTGTTAGTAAGTGATTATAGACCTAGTGCAGTTAAAAGTGGCAGTTAAAGTTGACGAGAGCAGTGATGTTGATGTGCAGCAGGTCTTTAAACTGTCACATAAACCTTTTGTGCATGTGGTATACACTTAACTTCTCTAAGGGTTGGGATGTGCTTGCTTTTTACCAACATACACAGACAAGCAGCAGCGACGTGAGAGGCAGAACAAACAAACCAAACACTGACTCTAGATAAGGCTCTTTGCTACGCCACTAGATGCCACTAAATCCTACACACTGGTCACAATTTGGTTGTCTTTTCAACATCGATTAGCCTAGCACATAGCATTTTTTAATAAAAGGAAAGGAGACAGTTGACCAAGGTTCTGACCGAGGCTTGCTCAACTGTTATTGGAGCATAAAGCAAAAAAGGGGCGGGAAGGAAGAGGTCTTGTGATCTTCAGAAGCCACTTTAAGCTGCACCAGTTATAACAGGAACAGTTCCTTAGTCACTAATGGAGGTCATCATATATGTGACCAGCCACGAGAAA